ACTTGTTCCATGGGATATTGATAGTTCTGAGAGAATTACAAGCTAAAAAGTTTGGGAGATACTGAATAATCCATTCTTAGAGGTTTAAAAGAAATTCTAACACACGAGAGAAAACCTACAATAAAGAAATTAACCATATTTGATAGGTAAAGGCTATATTTATTGCAAGGAAGAATAAATTTCCTTTTAGATGGATTTACCTATTTTGTTTTGCCAAGCATAGTTTGGGGACTATTACCTTATTATAATTTTGGAAATCTCAAAGATTATTTGCAAGATAGCCTTTAGTATGTTGTTAATCTTACTTTCTTTAGTAATGTTATCTCTTAGCAATTGTTTTTATTTTTACATTTAACCTTTATGTTATTCTGAAGAATAAAATTTCCTCTTGTGGATAACCCAGACATACATATAGTCTCCTGAGCCATATGAATCATAGTAGTAAGGTAAAAAATAAAAACTTTCTTTTTACAGACAGCAAATGCTGTGGCTTGAATTTCTACGGGATATAGACTACAAGGGCACTGGGCTGTTGGTCATGCAGGGTATAAGTAATAGCTTCTAGCTCATTGCTCTTTACTCTTTGATATTGAATTAGTTTCCTGTTTAGTGTCTCATAGTCTAGGTTGCTTTAGCCCAAAAAACCCTATTGGTTTTTTTATTGGAAACAGCTAGCATGGCATTCTGCAGTGTTGACCTAAGTAATTCTAAGTGATTTCATAGATACCGGCACAAACATGGTGCACATCATCTTCTGAAAACACTTCCTTCCCTTGCATCTATGATGCTACTTGCTCAGGTTTTCTATCTACCTCTGGCCATTTTACTTAGTATTCTTAACAGGATTTTGTCTCGTACCCATTCCTACTGCATTGGTTCTCCTCAGGGCTCTGCTTTTGGTAAATATCAATATTTCTTGCATATTCTCATACATTGCCATGTTCTCATCTATACTTTCTCTACTAATAATTCCTAATTTTTTTCTAATTGCTTCATCACTGTTAAGCTTCTTGCCTTTGTCTCAGTTATTAACTAGATATCATTATTTGGATGCCTTTGAGATACATTTACATCAATCTGTGCAATGCCAAACCCATCATTTCTTTGTGTTAAATGTGGTTTTACCTCATATGTTTTCCTGTTCTAATGTTCACTGCCAGTGCCCACCCAATTGTCCAAGCCTGATTCCTGCTTTATCTCATTCGTGCTCCCTACCACCATGGTCTTACACAGTACCCTTCATTCTGGTTCCTATACCTCTCCCAAATATTCTCCTTCCTTTTTATTCTCACTATCTGGATATTCTTAAGATTTTTTTTACACTTGTCCCTTTGCTTTCTCTTGGTTCTTCTTAACAGGAGCCCCTGAATCTGTTTTGCTTTTCTTTGTCCAGGGTACCCTCTAGACTCTAGTGGGAATGATACATCTAAGACATCTACTCTCTTTATGTCTGCAAAACCAAACTTCCTTCTCTCCTGGTCATCTCCACTTTAGTAAATAACAGTTTCATAGTTTTTATTACCAAGGTCCCAAATCTGTAATTATCTTTGCATGTTCACTGTTTGGTCAAGATCTGCTGGGTCATTATTTGGAATATATTCATAACCCAACCATTTCTTATCACCTAATCCAACTTCCTCTCATTTATTTCCTGAATTATAGAAATCACTATATGTTAGTGTTCCTGGTAAATATTTATCTTCTAAATCATTCTTTCCTCTATAGTAGCCACTAGTAGCCAATGTGGCTATTTACTATAAATACGACTGCTCTGAGTTGTGCTGTAAAAAGACACATTGGCTATGAAAGAATTAATTTTGAAGTAGAATGTAAAATATCTGATATTTTTTATTGGTTACATGTTGAAATAATAGCATTTAGAATAGATTGAATTAAATGCAATGTGTTATTAGTATTAATTTAACATTTACTTTGTCTTTTCCAAAGTTATTACAAGAAAAATTTCAATCACATATGTGACTCATATTTTATTATTGTTGGACAGCTGTGCTCTAAAGACTGAACACAGAAGTCAGAGTTATCCTTTTGAAATGTTAGGATGTGTGTGTGTGGGTGTGTGTGATTGAGGATTAAACCCAGTGTCTCATATATGCTAAACAAGCACTCTACCACTTGAGCCATACCCCCAGCCATGAAATGTTAGGTTTTTGTCATTCCTCTGTTCAAAAACCCTGAAAGGTTTTCAGCCCTACTGAGAGGAGAAGACAGATTGTACAGTGGACTACTAGGCCCAGCAGATTCAGTGCCTTTCTGAGTGTTCTCCAGCACTCAGTGTCTCCTCAGACCCCAACCTTGATGGCATTTTTGTTTACATTCCCACTAATTTTCCCACTTACTTAAGTGTCTACCCCAGTGTTCCTTATTAATAGTGACCATAAAGGAGACTCATCCAAACTCCCTGTATAAACCTGCAGTCTTGCTAACATGAATCTTGTCATTAGGTTTTGACATTGCTTTGAATATATCTACATTGATGGTATAATGAGTTCCAAGTTGATTGTATTTCAAGGTGCAACATTGTTACTTACACATTTTTTAACTCCAGTACATTTCTTGCTATCCCTCTAATCAGCCCTCAAACTGTGCATTTGGAATCCCTTATAAGAAACCAAAATAAGATAAAAATGATAAAGAATCTAACACAAGTTTAAAGGACTATTTGATAAATGTAAATATATTCTTGTTCTAGATTAGCATTTACCCAACTTCAATATTGGAGAGTGTTCAAGTAGCAACATTTGTTTTAACACCTTGAATTCCACTTGAATACCTATACCCTAAAACGTATAATAATAGAATCATCATCAAAAGCAAATGATAGACTCACCAAGAAAGAATTTAAACCTTTGTAAAAGTATCTCTGTATAAAAAAGTCTCCCTTATTCATCTTTTCCTCTGAAACAATTATTTTGGTCAGAATTTTTACCCATACTAATTTAAACAGAAGCATAACTTATCAGTAGTTTAGCTAGACACTTCATTATAAGAGAGGTGATTTTTTTAGAACAAATGTTTCTATTGTGGCTAATGAAAAATACAAGAATTTATAGCTCAGAAATAAATAAATAGACCTTTCAGAAATGTTTATTGTTCCAGTTCATTAAAATATTATATCTTTCAGACAGCATTTCTTAAAGGCCATAAAATTAATAGTGTATTTTAAAAGTTTTATTGGCATGTATTTCCTAAGTCTAATTTAGCCCTGGTGTTTAATTGTGCTGTCTCACATAGATTGAGAATCTGGCAGTTCTTACTATTTTCTGTTTTTAAAAGAAAAACATTTTCCTCCAGGGCTAGCTTCCATATTCTTGAATGTGTTTATATCACACTGCCTTCATTTTCATGTGCTGAAGTCTTGAGAATCTGTCATAGCTAATCTCGATCTGCTATTTCTTTGTGTCTTAAAATTATACTGAAATTTCAGTTAGTAACTAATCACGTCCCCAGCCTGGCTCCCTACATGAAACTGAAATTCTGTATATTAGATACCAGAGTTAAATTTAAAAATTTTTACTACCTAAAGTAGTGAATAAACTTTTTGTAGACTACTTGCAAAATGCCAAGCATTGGATAGTCTGTAGAAAACTACAAGGCTCTGAACATGTCCTCAAATGTAGAATAATTCAAACCTTTTCCATTAAGCCCTCTATAAATGTATTCCAGAGTACAAAAATTCCTTTGCATTTCCAGATAGCTTACCTTTTAGTCCACTAGTCCTAACTTAAAACTAACTATAGTAAGAATTCCTCTTCCTTTTTAATCTTTCTCAGTGGAGTATCACTCCAATCTAATCCACCCCCACCCAGGCTCCTAAGCCACTAGGGCATATATTCAGAGTCTGCATTCATAGAAAAATTTCAGACTTCTTAGAGTTATATTCAAATTACTATCTCTTTATTGCCACTGTGCTGCCAACATGTAGAGAAGTATCAGGCACATAGGTTCCTGTAGATGGACTAATCTGTTGAATATAGATGAAAACTGAGAGTGACTAAAAAATGAATTGATGAAATTTTGCCTGAAAACTTCCAAGTGTGTTGACTATTTTAGTGTGGTTACTGATTTCTTCTTAGATGAAGAAACTAAAGGTCTCAAAACTGTGGCCTTGCTATAAATGTCATACTGACAGGAATCAGCATATCTTATATTTGTCCTTAATGTCTGTCTTTTCTTGGTTTGATTGACTATGATTGGCTTTAGATAGTATAATACATGTATTTTAAAACAAGTATTTCCCTTTGCTCTCAAATGATGGCTTTGCTGACATTCATAAAGGCATTACATTGATCTTAGAAGAGGGTTATAATTTCAGTGAGTAAATATGGAATATAGAGATCATAAATAAACAAAACCATGGGTACAAGAAATCCAGTGTGTTCTCAGATAATAGTATCCAGAGTAAGAGAAAAATTTTGAAAAGCAATTGGGGCCACAGTTTATCAGGTTTGTGAGTGCCACACTAGACATCTCTTAAGGTTATTGTTATAAATGGCCCAGTACTGATGGTTCATGATGTCTGCCTCTACAATTAAGCTCATTTCCTCTGACAGCATATAAGAAGCTTGGACCTCTAACCCATCTATTTAAATCCTACCAATCTCTTGACCCCGCATCACTCCACCTCTCAGACCAAATGCTTCCCAAACCCTTGTGTCCACCTAGTTATCTTTCCCACCTTTGGCCTTTCACATTTCTTTATTTCCACTCACCTGATGTTTGGCATTGTTTTATCTTATTATCTTTGCTTCATAACTATGTAAGAAGCCACTCAAGGACAACAGTGGCTTCTGTACTCTGTCTCAGTAAGCAGGATGCACAAGTTTATATCCTAGGGGATCAACTTTTTGTTGGATTCCTTTTACTTTCCTCCTCCCTCCCTATCCCCCCCCCCCACACACACACCATTCAGTTTTTGCTTCTTTTCTGCATACTTTTCAATTATTCCTGATGGAATCTTGTTTTGTCGGCTTATTTCCTAGATGGGAAGTGATGGAATTTTACGCCTCAGTACTTCAGCTCTAAATAATGAATTCTTTGCATATGCAGCACAAGGGTGGAAACAGCGACTGGCAGAAGGTAACTTTCAGTGTTCTGTTTTTGTGTGACATACTGGAGTATACATACTATGCTGAACTTTCTACCTTTCTCTGACTTCAAATCTTTTTCCTCTCTGAAATATATTTTAATTTAGTAATAAATCACATCCTGTTCCAAATGACTCCACTAATTCTTTTGTTATACTTAGCATAATAAAAAATGTTGATATAGGATGACTTTTGAAGTGGTAATTTAAATTACATGGCTTGATCCGTTTTGTATTCTAAATGTCCTGGAGTCTACTTTTTCTCCTGATACCTCCACTTTACCCATCCTTCCTTTAGTCACCAGGCTGCTACCACTTTTTTTTTTTGAAGTACTGGGATTTGAACTCAGGGCCTTGTACTTGCTAGGAAGGGGGGTTACCACTTCAGCCATGCCCTCCCAGCCCTTTGTGCTTTATTTTTCAAGTGGGGTCTCTGGCCAACCTTAGCCTACAGTCTTCCTTCTTAGAACACTTGAATAGTTGTGATTGCAGGTATGGACTACCACATTTGGGTTGTTGGTTAAGAGTGGATCTTACTTCTTTTAGGATTCAACCATGAGCCTTCTGATGTCCATCTCCTAAGTTGCTGGGATTATAGGCATATACCACCATATCCAGTTGTCACCAGGCTTCTTGAAAGACTAAAAACTATAGTAATACCACATTTTTATTCCTTACCCTCCCACTTATTAGGCATACTATACCAATTGAAATACTCCCTCAAGATAATATTCACACCTTTCTTATTGCAAAGTCAGTTTCTTCTTCACCATCTTTACATGTTGGGTTTCTTCTCAATGTCTCCTTTGTGTTTTTCCCTTTCTGATATGAAACTATCTACCTGAGACTCTCATGATCTATTTTAAATTGTTTCCTGGGGTTACATTTCTGAAGACCCTTTCTGATCTTCCTGTAGAAACTTCTGTTCCAACACTTTATGGTAAATGTTGATATCATCAGCATTTTCTTCTTATCATCACCATTTTGCCTTTAACTATTGCCCATATGCCAGATCTTCCAAACCTACTCCCACTCCCTTTGCCTGATCCCTGGTATCCTATTTCCAGGTGCTTACTGGATCTCATAAGTTGGTATCAGGCACCTCACAACCAAAATTCTCAATATTAAATTTACTATTTTTCCTTTCATATCTGCTCTTCTGCTTTTTCTTCCTATACTGCCACCACCATACTTACAGTTCCCCACTTTGAAATCTTAATGGTTTTCATGCAACCATTTTCTTTATCTGGTCACGAACTTGTAATTTTATGACTGCTTTCCAAAATTCCCACTGTTAACTGACCCCACTGTAATCTACATATCGTGGCCATACCATTTCTTTACAATATGATTAGACCTATCTTTATAAGTTATTTATTTGGCCTTGTCCTCCCTTACTGAATGCCAGGAGGCCCTCCTATCTCTTATAGGAACACTCATGAGGTAATTAGCCTTAGCCTTTCTTTCATATTTCATTTCACCCTACATTCTACTCACAGTTGGTCACTCAGAACCATAAATATGCATCTTCATATTTCTGCACTTTGTAATTTAATCACTTTATAAAAACCTGATCATCTTTCAGAAACTAATTCAAGAATCAACTCATATATGTAATCCTCTTTTATTGACTTAGGCAGAGTTAAATACTTTCCCAGCTATACTTGCATCACATATATTATTCCACATACATTTTTCTTATGGCCTGTGTAGGGCTTTGACATTATGTCATAGTCAGTTAAGTGCCTTCTCCTAGCAGACTCATTTCCTTCAGGACAGTGTCTATGCTATACGTGCTTCATTTGCAGCCCCTAGCACACAATGCATTTGCTAAATGTATTAGAGTTCATCCTAGGTAACTATTTGATGTTTATAAAAAGAGAAGCAGTAGAAATGTTAACATTATTCATCCTTTTACTTTTCAATATCCATAAAAGTTTACTGAAATGAATTACATGTTTTCTTTAATAATCGGCAAAAGATGTGAACACTTTTGCTCAATTCATTCCCATTTTCTTTCTAGGAGAGTTTACCCCAGAAATGCAATTACGCATAAGACAAGAAATTGAGAAGGAAAAGAAAACAGAACCTTGGAAAGAAAAATTCTTTGAGAGGTTTTATGGGGAAAAGTAAGTACTAGAGCATTTTTTCTCATTTCTCCTAGAAGGAAATGAAAATGTAATTCTCTGCTTCACATAGCACACTCATACGCTGTAAAACTTAATAAACCTGTGATAAAAGGCAATAGTCCCTCAGTATAAGAAATTGTGGGTAAAATTATAGTGGCATATCAGCACTTTAATTTTTAAAAATGCATTTTCAAGGGTTTATAACTTGTTCATGAAAATTCATTTTGGCCTGAAAATAGCACAGGAAAACCTATAGAAGCCAATTTTGACTTTCATAAGTGGATTTTAGTAACATTCCCCAGGTTTTTATCCAAGTATTTTCATTAATGTGTACTGTAAAGGCAGTAATTTTAGGCACGTACTTAATTTTCATATTTTCTCCAAAAATATTGACTGTGCAATATCCATGTTCATATTCATTTAGTTCTTCTGTTGGTGGAGCCTGTGGCATTATTCTTCACCTCATCAGTCTTCCTCTTCAAATGTTGCCTCTTTTTCATTTATATTGTGTGTGTGCATGGGCATAGGTTTGTTTTTTAAGTAGTATCAGCCACATGTAAGTGTGATAGTAACTGAAATAACCTGAAATCAGTTTCATTCTGCCTCCTATTTAGCAGAGAGACATTCTGCTTGGGCAGAATTAGTGTCTCAGACAATCAGATCACTAGGAAAAGAGAGATTTAGGAGCTACTGACAATAACTCCTGCTCCTCATTAGTAGGGGAATTTGTGCTTTAACTCTCCCCCACTAACTAAAATGAAGGCTTGAAAGATGTTATTTTGTGTGAATGATACAGAAGTAACTGCAGATAACAATTTGTGCCATTGAATCTGACTTCACATCAACTGAGAAAATCATGGCAGAAGGAGTGTCATCCAAGATCTTTTCTGAAAAAGGAATCAGATATTGAAAACATTACTTGCTCAGAACAAGCTAGCCTCAGTGAACTGTCCTAAATAGCAGTATTCTTGAGTCATGAGGTCAGCTTTTAGTTACATGCCAGGTTCCTGGATGCATAACATATTTAAGTAGATTTAGAGATAATTAACTCTCTCAAAAATTAAAAATTATTTGGGCTAGTTACATGTCCTCACTTGTAGTCACCAGAAGTGTCACTCTTAAGCCATACTGCCTCAGAGTCCTCAAAAGAGATGGCAAAACTAAGGTATGAGCTTCCTGGACCCATCCTGAACATACTGATTTGAGAATCTCCAAGAGTTAAACCTATTATAAGCATATTTGACCAATGAGAATCATAATATCTTAAAGAAGCAGCAGAATACTAAATCAAATCTTAACTATAGACAAGTTTAGATGGTAGCATTCCTAGAAAAACTTAGAGCAATGAAGAGGCACATGGTGTCAACCAAATGAAAATTGGTACAAAGGAAAATCCCCTGTTCTTTTCTATCTTTGATTGCATATTGGAGGACAGATACATTGTGGGCATTTCATTGACTGCTAATATATGAGGAAATTTTGTTACTCATTTCATTACTTCCTAATATATGAGGAATTTTCTTAGCATCAATTCTCATTGACCTAGTATGCATACTCTTCTGTATTTGTATGTACTTTCTAGTATAGTACTCTTCTATATTAGTTTTATTTACCTTGAGATCCCCCATCTATGTGCTAGTACAGAATATTAGGGTTGGCTTGTCAATTTGTGGCCTAGATTTCTAGAAGACAGGAACTTCGTTTGTGTGGTATGTGATGTATTGTGACCATTTTCCTCTATGCCTCTGCCATCTTGAATCCATTTTCCCATGGAAAAGAAATGTTGGCATAGATGTATTTTATACAGTGTCATTTTATACACACCAATATATATATCCTTATCTATCTATATATATATTTAATAGTATTGTTATTAACCAACTAACAGAAATATGACTTCCCATGTCTGTATTTTTGCATATTCTATAACTAACTAGTGTCAGTGTTATTTCTACCAGTTGACCCATGCTTGTCATTATGCTTTCTAGATTTACATTATGCTTTAAATTTATGTGTAATATAGCTACTCTACTCCTCTTAGTAGAGTATAGGTACAAATAATAGTTTAGTCTGAATTCATCTTAGGTTCTTAAAAAAAGAAAAAAGAATAAAGGCAGTATTGTCTATCATTTTTTCAGAGCCTTCTGAATTTTAGGAAAGATGACAATGATGAAATACCTAAAAGAGTGTTCAATTTTGTTTTCTTTACATTTTGAGGATTTTATTTAAGTACAGGTTACAGTGGATTCCCCTGAGGTATTTTCCTCTATCAATACAGATACAAGATATTATATCTTACTTAAATGTATCTTTACTTAAATGTATTTCTTTTTTTTTTTGGATATTGTTTCTCTTCTGCTTAACCTTTGTCATTGCCTGAATCCTAATTTGACTTAGGACAGCATATTTCTCTACCATCTAATACTGATACCACAACTTAATGTGATGAAAACAGTTTATAATTCTGTTTAGCTTTGCCTGGAAACCTAACACTAGTTTGGGTTATTTCTTGATTTTTCTCTACTATCTTGTATGGAACATATTTACATTAAGAGGTCTACATGAATAGATTAAATGTCTTGCTTCACACAAATCTAAAATGGTAGAGTAACTTTGATGACCCCCAAATATGTTTTATTATTCCTTAATAATGATAATAGACAACTTGAAATTTCTATATTATCTCTGATTTGACACTTATGTGGTAGAATTAGATGATTAAGTAGCATTTCTTAGATTGGATTAAAATAACCAGTTTTTGGAAGTTACTTCAATTTATATTCCATTGGTCTTATTTGCTTTTGTTGCATCCCCAGAAGTCTACATAATTTTTTACTTGCTGACTTCAAAAGAATTATTTTATACATTCTTTTGATTTTCTAGAAATGTTTTCTAATCCTTTGTTATTTTTAATTTCCATATCCCCTTTCCTAATACCTGGTAATGTTCATTATCTCCTTGCTTAGAAAATAAATATCTCTATCTTTCTTAACCAGAAGTAGAATTTATACTAATTACAATTATGAAAGCAGTAGAGAAACTACATATCATAAACCATTGTACATAAATTAATCATGCTACTTAGTGATTATAAGATTAATTTGATGCATTTTCTTCTATTGAATACTGTATTTGTGAGAGACCCAAGGTGAGAATATCATGTTTTGTGGTTGAGTAATAATTTCGTATCTCTAATTTCTATTCAGATTGGGCATGTTAAGAGAGGAATCTATGAAGCTCACTTCTGTACCAAACAGTGATAGAGCTGACAGTAGTTCTGCATGTGGGACCTCTGGCCTTCCAGGTTCTACTGTACAGACGTCTGTGGAAGAACAGCAGCCAAAAAGCAAGAAAAATTCAGCATCTCCAGAGCCTGATTTCTGTGATACACTTTGTCCCATGGTGGAGGTTCCAGCTAAGGATGAAATGGCAGAATCAGAATCAGAGGATATCTTGATCCCTGAGGAATCCGTGATTCAAGAGGAAATTGCAGAGGAAGTAGAGACTAGTATCTGTGAATGCCAGGATGAAAATCATAAGATAATACCTGAATTTTCTGAGGAGTCTGGAAGTCCAGCCACCTCTCATGAAGAGCCCCAAATAGTAGCTCCAGAAGATAATTTGGAAACTTGTGTTATGATGAACGATGTTTTAGAAACTTTGTCCCATACTGAAGTTAAGATAGAAGAGAAATCAGAATGCCCCCAGGAAGAAATGTCAGTTGTTATTGATCAACTAGAAGTCTGTGACTCTCTTGATCCTTCCACTTCATCTGTGACTCTTCTCAATGACACAGAACATAATGAACTAGAAACTGTAATAGAGACCAACACTCCAAAAATAAAAACAGGGTCACCTTCTATAGATGGCCAGTTTCCAATTGAAGGAATTACTGTAGATATGGAACTGCAGAGTGATCCTGATGAACAGCTTTCTGAAAATGCTTGCATCTCTGAAACTTCCTTCTCTTCTGAGAGCCCAGAGGGTGCCTGTACCAGCCTTCCATCCCCAAGTGGGGAAACCCAATCCACATCTGAAGAATCATGCACTCCAGCCTCCCTTGAAACAACATTTTGCTCTGAGGTGTCCAGCACTGAAAATACAGACAAATACATTCAGAGAAATCCCACTGATGAGAACCTTCATACATCTTTGATGTCAGAAGTATCACCAATATCTACTTCACCTGAAATATCAGAAGCATCTCTTATGTCCAACCTTCCTTTAACATCAGAAACATCACCAGTATCCAACTTACCTTTAACATCAGAAACGTCACCAATATCTGATTTGCCTTTGACATCAGAAACTTCTTCAGTGTCTTCCATGCTTCTCACCTCTGAGACCTCTTTTGTATCCAGTTTGCCACTTCCTTCAGAGACATCTCCAATTTCTAATTCCTCCATGAGTGAAAGAATGGTGCATCAACAGAGAAAGTCACCTTCCATATCTGAAGAAGCACTTTCTCCACAGAAGAATGAGCATTCGATCCCCACTAAACCCCTGGGAGAGAACCTTATACCCCAGCAGAAGCCTCCATCCAATACTCCTGAACCCATCAAAATAGGTGGTTCTTCCATTGCTCCTGAAGCATTTCCATCTGAAGAACTGTACAATAAGACCTTGAGTCAGCAGCCTTGTAAACCACATGTTGAACTTGAGAAGCACTACCTTTCTTCCATCCCAGAACTTCCTTCTACAGAAACAATGAAAGTTAAAAATCATAGTGTTCTACAAAGAACAGAAAAGAAAGGGGTATCCTCACCTTTGGAATTATCTGTCTTTTCTGAAGAGACAGAGACTAAAGGAAATGAGCTTCCATCAGCTAAATTACAGGAAAAGCAGTACATTCCATCAGTGGATAAGGCTTCATTTTCAGAAGGCTCAAGAAATAAAACACATAAGCAAGGAAGTATACAGAATCGGTTAGAGACCTCACATACATCCAAGTCATCAGAGCCCTCCAAGTCACCTGATGGGGTAAGAAATGAAAGTAGAGAATCAGAGATATCAAAGAGGAAAACTGCAGAGCAACATGGCTTCGGAACCTGTAAGGAAAAGAGAGCAAGGATAGAAGATGATCCGTCAGCACGGAACCTGTCATCCAGTAGTCCAGTTGAGAAAGAACAGCCTCCAAGAGAGGAGCCCAGGGTTCCCCCTCTCAAGGTACAGTATTCAAAATAAATAATAATTATAAGGCATTCCATGGGTAAGCTTCGTCTATTTAGAAACTTAATTTTTCAAAAATAAATTAGATTTTTCTCCTTCCAGTTTTATATATCAATTTACAATCTGATCTTTGCAGTACATAGTCTAATAATACATGATACTTTTAAAATATGCATTGAGTGTATATAAGAAGTACACATACATATGACATCAATATTTAAGGGAAAAAAAACCTGGGAAGAGTGAACTGGGCCTGGAAGAGCCTACAAACTTTGGGACAGTGGTTTGGGGATTGCAAGGTATAGAACAGAGGCCTACATAAACTTGGGAAAATGTGAAGGAAAAGTCAGTGTCCTGTAAAAGTTCAGTATAGAACTAGGGAAAGTAGTCAAAAGTCAGAAGCCAGCATCAGGAGGTGAAGGTGAAAAGCATATTAACTCTTTTCTCAGTTTCCAATCACCATCTAACAGGGAGGACCTGACTTATGGTAGAGTTGCATTAAATATTTACTAGTTAAATTAATAAAATCACTTTATGAACTCTGAGGTAGAATGCTATAGATAAAAAGATATATAGGTCCTATTTTTTTTTATTTCCAAGGTAGTAAAGAGGTCTTTAACTTCACAAAATAACAAAACCTTATGGACACACATATACACACACACTTTCTTTTGATCCTAGATAAGTTTTTAACTTTCAAAAAGCAAAACTTTTATATAAATCAGATCTTCCTAAGAAAACTGAAAATTCATGTTAATTCAAAAGAAACTTTAATTAAAACTTTTCTACCCTCTGTAATTTCTATTTATTTGGTACTTTCATCTAAGTCCATTTACATTGTCATACAATAAAATAGATTATTTCATCATCACAGGATTTATCTAGATTATAAATATCTCAAGCTTTAAAAATATCTTTCTCTTTATATCTGTTTTTATAGGTGGTTCATGATCTTCACAAGGTTTACTTTTAAAAGTAGAGTATGGTTGTATCAATTCTATTTAACAAGAATGGCATCTATTAAATAAGTTTCCAGAGATGTAAAAAGGGAACATTGAACTCTAATTAAACATATACATTTTTGTTTCTGAACCATAGAAAAATATAAATATCCTTTCAGAGAAAATGTTGAATATACCAGCCTGATTTTGTGGTGAAAAGGTCATTTTCAAAGTGATACTGCCCTTTACTTAAGGATAAATAGGTAGAGTATACAGACAGATATTAGAGAGATAGATACTAAGTAAACATTTGCTGCTTTCCTTGAGTCTTGATTAAAGAGATTTAGGTTTAATTTTTTAGATTAAGAGAAATTTTTTAAAGGAAAATCTGAAGCTCCTTGCCAATTTCACCTCTTCTTGGCTGTGTGTTAGGGCACAGGCTTCATAAGCAGTTTGAAAATATAAAAGGAGATTGCTCAGGAAGATAAACTCACCTATCCAAGTTCCAAAATATAATTCCAAATGGAAATGATCTGACATACATGTCAAGTGGTTACAGTATCAAGATACATATGCTAGGAAGGAGAGCTATATTTTCTAAGAGCAATTTATCCTAGACAGGGAGAAAAAGGAAGCAGAATACTTGTGACCAGCACTGAACTGGGAGCCCAGGACTGTGATTATACGATGCCAAAGCAGATGACTTTAGCTCCACAGGCCCAGTTTTTTTCAAATATAAATTGACATGTTAACTGGGGCCCTTCCAGCTTCTTCAAACGTGATTCTGAGAATGCTTTAAGTGACTACTGCATCAAAGCCTTGCAATGCTGGGAATTAAGTCTTGTGCCTTATGAGTTTGCTGATGACTCATAAATCTCTTTATTAGCATAAGTGGGCAAACAGTATAGATCATGACATGTACAAAACTCAGCAGATTGTGGAATGTCAATATCAAAAGAAACTTCCCAATCTGCATTTTCTTTGAATGGCAAAAATATCAGAGTTGCCCTTGCTTTTATTAAACTATAATGGTAATGCAATCCCCTTGGAAAATGGAGCACATTCACAAATACAGCCTCATTCCATCTTTATAATAGCTCTGTAGAGGAAATAGACCAGAAATAACTCATTCCATTTTACAACTGGGTTTATAAACTTGTACAGTGTGTTTATTACATGTATATATATATTCACATATACATATACATATATGAGACAGTATGCTAGGTGGCATGAAAATGCATCAGAACTGTATGGTCACTGGCTCCTAGAGTTACCAGAGAAACTGAGACACACAGTGAATTGCTGAGGATCACAAAGTACCTTTGTGCAAAGACAGGATGAGAATTCTCATCTTGCATCTTCTTGGCCAAGGCTTATCCTTTTGGGTCAAATTAAGACTGATAAACTCAAAAGAGTAAAAACCTCGGTTTTCTTTTTTTCTCATTCCAGCAAGAAGAATAATCTTAAAACTAAGTATCTCTGTGTCTTGTTAGCTCACCTCAGTTTTGTAGCATGGATTTGATTTCGATTTATATAGGTCATTAAGAAGATGCTTTATTTATTTCCATGTCAAATGAAGTTACCAGTTGATGGTTTTGTAGCTTAAAAACTTAATCTTCACACTCATGCTACGTTTAGTGTTGCTTGAAATCCTGAACACTCATTCCAGAGGTTGAGGTCTAGTTCATTCCACATTACAAGAGAAAGCAGCTTATCTTTCCCCTGTATTATCACATTCATAAGCCTCCTCTGTGATCACATAGGAAACACTTTATCTTTCTATTCTTTCTTTCTTTTAGATTCAGCTTTCCAAAATTGGGCCACCTTTCATTATCAAGAGCCAACCAGTCTCCAAACCAGAGTCTCGAGCATCCAGTAGTGCATCGGTCAGTGCAGGAAGGAACACAGGAGCCAGGACTCTGGCAGATATCAAGGCTCGTGCTCAGCAAGCTCGGGCCCAGCGTGAGGCTGCTGCAGCTGCTGCTGTAGCTGCTGCAGCAAGCATTGTCTCTGGTGCCATGGGTAGCCCAGGAGAGGGTGGGAAAGCAAGAACCCTGGCCCACATCAAAGAACAGACCAAGGCTAAGCTCTTTGCAAAGCATCAAGCCCGAGCTCACCTCTTCCAGACCCCAAAAGAGACCCGGTTGCCTCCACTCAGCACCAAGGAGGGGCCTCCAAACTTGGAAGTTTCTTCTAACCCTGAAACAAAAATGGAAGGTTCCACTGGTGTCATTATTGTCAATCCAAACTGTAGATCTCCTAGCAACAAGTCTACCCACCACCAGGAGACCCCCTCTGTATTACAGCCACCTCTTAACCCAACTCAACTTCCAGAAACTGCCACTGACTTGTCTGTGCATAGTTGTGAAGAAAGCATACCTGTGTCACATTTCTCTGAGAAAATCGTTTCATCTACCTCTTCTGAAAATAGCAGTGTGCCCATGCTTTTTCATAAAAATTCTGTCCCTGTGTCTGTTTGCAGCACTGCTATGTCAGGAGCAATTAAAGAACATCCCTTTGTGAGTTCTGTTGACAAATCCTCTGTCCTAATGTCTGTTGACAGTGCAAACACTACAATTTCTGCTTGCAATATAAGCATGTTAAAAACCATCCAGGGAACTGACACCCCATGCATAGCCATTATACCAAAATGTATTGACAGCACTTCTGTTCCGGCCACTACAGAGGGTGCCAGCCTATCAAGCACCATGGAGGATAAGCCGTTGATACTACCAAGCAGCAGTCCTACTAACTTAGTCTCCAGTCAATACACCTCTGTGCCAACTCCGTCCACTGGGAATAATTTGCCAAACCATCTCTCTGCTAGCTCTGTCCTGATTCCCCCACCTGGAATTAATAACAGATTTCCTTCTGAGAAGATAGCCATGGCTGTGAGTGAAGAACAGGCCACTGTATCCATGGGTACCACTGTGAGAACCACCCTCAGCTGCAGTGACTCAGTGGTGGTCACTGACTCTTTGGTTGCACGCCCACCTGTTGCAATGTTTACTGGAAACATGCTTACTATAAACTCTTATGACAGTCCTCCCAAGTTAAGTGCTGAAAGCCTGGACAAAAATTCAGGGCCTCGAAACAGGGCAGACAATTCTGGGAAATCTCAGCAGCCACCAGGGGGCTTTGCACCAGCAACCCTAAATAGATCAATTCCCTGCAAAGTCATCGTGGATCACAGCACCACACTAACCTCCAGTTTGTCTCTGACTGTCTCCATTGAAAGTGCAGAAGCCAGCTTGGATCTCCAGAGCCGGTCAGTGAGGACAGAAGTATCAATACAGCCCATGGCGTGTCCTCAGGTGTCTGTCATCAGCAGGCCTGAGCAGGTAGCAAATGAAGGCATAGATCATGGTTCTGGTTTCATTGGTGCTTCTGCAGCCAAACAAGACTGTAAAACACTGCAGGCCTCCTGCACCAGTCTCCGAGAATTGCCCCTTGTTCCCGATAAATTAAATGAGGGAACTGCTCCAAGTCATAGCTTCATTGAGCAGGCACGAAACCCAACCACTTTCAAAAGTGAGGCAGATACAACCTGTAGCAGCAATCAGTATAAACAAGGAAACCGGATTTGCTGGAATGATGATGCGATGAGGAGCACAGGACAGCCTCTAGTTAGTCACTCGGGTTCAAGTAAACAGAAAGAATACTCAGAGCAGAGCTGTGCAAAGGTGATCAAAACAGAACATGCCAGCTACCCACACGTGTCAGAACTTCAATCCAGAAATCTCATAACCAATGTCACTCTTGCTGTAAAATCGGAACCTCATGAAGTGGACAAAGGCTTCAGAATGGACACTGAAGACTTCCCTGGCCCTGAGCTGCCTCCCCCAGCTGCAGAAGTGGCCTCTAGTGGACAACAAACACAGACCATGAAGGCTTCTACCTCGAGCCCCATGGAAGAAGTGATTTCCTTGGCTACAGACACCCTAAAAAGAGTTCCAAGTGCAGGAAGTTCAAGCTGTCGACTGTCATCTGTGGAGGCTAACAATCCTCTAGTAACACAGTTACTGCAGGGCAACTTGCCTTTGGAAAAAGTGTTGCCACAGCCTAGATTGGGAGCCAAGCTTGAAATCAACAGGCTTCCTCTGCCCCTCCAAACTACCTCAGTGGGTAAAACAGCACCAGAGAGGAGTGTCGTTGAAATGCCATCCAGCTCTCCAAATCCAGATGGTAAGGGCTACTTGGCAGGTACTCTTGCACCACTCCAAATGAGAAAGAGAGAAAACCACCCCAAAAAGAGAGTGGCCAGGACTGTGGGGGAACACACTCAAGTTAAATGTGAACCAGGAAAATTGTTGGTGGACCCAGATGTGAAAGGGGTGCCTTGTGTCATTAATCCCAGCATGAGTCAGCTAGGACACAGCCAGCCATTTAAGCAAGAATGGCTCAACAAGCACTCCATGCAGAACAGAATTGTTCACAGCCCTGAGGTCAAACAGCAAAAGCGGCTACTCCCTGCATGTAGCTTCCAGCAGAATCCATTTCATGTTGACAAAAATGGCAGCTTTCACCCTGATGCTGGTACCTCACACAGACAGCAGTTTTACCAAATGCCCATGGCTGCCAGGGGCCCCATTCCCACTGCAGCTCTACTACAGGCCTCTTCAAAGACCCCAGTGGGCTGTAATGCATTTGCCTTCAGTAGGCATCTTGAACAAAAGGGACTGGGAGATGTTAGTCTTTCTTCAGCGCCTCACCAGCTAAGGCTAGCCAACATGTTATCACCCAATATGCCCATAAAAGAAGGTGAGGATGTGGGAGGTACTGTACACGCCATGCCAAGCAAAACACCAGTGCATGCTCCATTGCCACCACCACCTCCTCCTCCCCCACCCCCTCCACCCTTGGCCTTGCCCCACCTCCCCCCCCCCCACCTCCGCTACCTCCACCTCTCCCTAATGCTGAAGGCCCATCTGATCAAAAGCAGCCACCGGTTACCATGGAAACCACTAAGAGACTTAGTTGGCCACAGTCTGCGGGCATATGTAGCAATATAAAATCAGAACCACTTTCTTTTGAGGAAGGTTTAAGCAGCAGCTGTGAACTGGGCATGAAACAAGTTTCCTATGACCAGAATGAAATGAAAGAACAGTTAAAAGCATTTGCGCTAAAAAATGCAGATTTCTCTTCCTATTTGCTTTCTGAGCCACAGAAGCCTTTTACCCAATTAGCTGCTCAGAAAATGCAGGTGCCACAGCAACAGCAGCTCTGTGGAAATTATCCAACTATACACTTTGGGAGCCCGAGCTTCAAAAGGGCAGCATCTGCAATTGAAAAGTCCATTGGGATTTTGGGAAGTGGCTCCAGTCCTGCCACGGGTCTGCCAGGTCAGAACGCTCAAATGCCTGTTCAGAACTTTGCCGACAGCAGCAACACGGATGAGTTAGAACTGAAATGCTCTTGCCGGCTGAAAGCCATGATTGTGTGCAAAGGCTGTGGGGCGTTCTGCCACGACGACTGCATAGGTCCTTCAAAACTCTGTGTAGCTTGCCTGGTTGTACGATAGGTAAGAGCTGAGTGAAAGATGCAGTATCCCTTTAGACACGGAAAAGCCAAACAGCGTCAGCAACAGCAAATTGAAAAAAATGCCCTGGCTTATATGCTAATTTATTTTACTTTGGAACAGATTTTATCTTTTTACTATGGGTTATTGTTTTCTTGCGTTTCTCTTAAAGGGGAGGATACACCCCACCAGAATGGCCCAACAGTATGTCTTTTACATGTTTAGTTGCTATTCCCAGCTTTGAAAAGTTTCTGTGTATACAGGTCACTGCCCCATTCTTCTCTTTTTTTTTCCCTCCTTTTAACCCAGGTGTAGATAGGAAGAGGACAGTTTTAATTGTCTGATCACCAGACATGGAGATGTAGAAAGAGAATAATAAAAGTGACTTAAGGTATCATGCATGTTTCTGTAGACTTGCCATTATACACAAGCATTTTTACAGTGACTCTTCTGGACCTACATTTGCTGTAATGATTAAGTCATATTTTGAAATGGGGAATCTTATTTAATTAAGAATGTGTGATTCCTTTAAGTATGTGATATTTACGCATATCACAAAAGATACATTAAAGGAGGTATGGCATCAATGAAATCCACTGTCCCTGCTTTCTGTCCTCCCTTCTTACTCTTTCTCTCAGAGACTGTGGCTGAAAAATCTGGATCTGCCTTGGATTTTGTACACAGATGGTAGTGAAATGTGCCCTGCACCTGAAGTTGTATCATGGGCTTCATATGACCAGTAACCTGGTTCTAGTCCTTCCCTTCCTACTCCTAGCTAGGATTGTATGGCCAGCAGAGAGCTATACACTCAGAGGATTTTGGAGCTTCATGTGTGGCTTTTAAGAAGTATGAAAAAAATGCCCTAAAATTAAAAGAAAATAAAATGCTCTTTATGCATGTTTAAGTGGGTTGGTAGTGTAAATATTAGCCATTCTATTCACTCTAATTCAATTACCACAGATTAAAATTGGGGAGAAAATAATTGTAGTCCTTATTTATGACACCATTGCATTGTGGCCACCATCTTTGCAGAGATTGGCCACCTCTCTTTATAAGTGTCACTGATGATAAAATGGACTACCGAAGACTGAAGTGTGGCATTTTCCTAAACCTTTTTTTTCTTGTGATTTATAATCTGTATTTGACTCTAAAATAGCCTTTTTTTTAAAAAAATTGCTCCACTATTGCATGATTTGTTTTGTTCCTCATATCTGGTGAAGTGGAACTGCTTTCGGAAAAGGGATACTGCATCTTACAATTATCTTCAGTGTTTATGCAGTAAAGTCTGAGTGTTGCATATTTGAGCTATATACCATGTACTCTGGCCACCCTCATGCTGGAGAAAAGCTGTAGTCCAGTAGGCTGTGTTCCCAAAAGCAAGTTCAAAAGCACATGCACGCGCACACACACACACACACACACACACACACACACATATACTGTGGTAAGACGAAAGAAAGCAAAAACACACCCATTTAACTTCATATTACAGAGCACAAAATGTGGAGCACCATTAACCCATTGATTGTGGCTGTATAATAGAAAAAATAAAAAGGCAAAAATCATCTCTATCCAGGGTAAGAACAGATATTTTCACGTGAGATCACTCTAATCACTGTAAACTTTTTAACATTCCCTGAAAAGGCGTCTTAAAAGTTAACCGGAATGAGCAAATATTACATTCCTGCAACAAACAAAACCCTTGTAATTTTTTATAATTATCAGCTATGTTATGTTTTTTCTTCCATATGTATTATTATGATGTTGCCAAATTTCTGTAGGTGATGAAGACATCATTTTTATTAACAAAGTGCTGATAGTGAAATATAAGAGAAAACAAAGAAAGGCCTGCCCTGTGGCCATGATTTGGTGCTGCAGTACTCTCACTTTGGTTTTTCATATTACAATTAACAAAAATAATGACTGAGAAATTTAGGACTACACTTCACCAGCGCTCCCCAAGGAATGCAGTGTAAGCGCCAGCAGATTCTTGGTTAACTGCACCACAGGTTGTATTTGGATGGTGTCCTGGTCAGTGATAGGTCTTTATGGTCTGCTTGACTCAGACATCAACTTAATTTCCATGACCTTGCTCTTAGCCTCATAGTGGGACACCCCAATAATACCAACACTTGCATGCCAACTACTTCCAAATTCAATCGCTGCTATACCAGTGTCAGATACTTTCTACACCAGCAAATTGAACACTAACACATCAGTAACTGACACATGTTAAACTCTAGTCTATATAGCCTTTGCACTCTGTATGTGAGGTACAATTGAGGTTGATGTGGTACTGACTCATTGTCAGTTCAATCCTTCTTGAATACTGCCTATAAAATGCTTACTGGGAATAAAGTGTCCTTCTGTATGTTTGGATTTTTCACATAACAGATTTGGAGAATCAAGTATTGGTAATGCATGGATTCTATCGCCCAGGTCCAAAGACCATAATTTTTCTGTGACTTTGCTCTTTTCTGTCCCAGTTCAAATTCCTAGTGTTTTCTTATTGTTATATCTCTGAAAAATTAATATCTTTGGGCTAAAAAAATAAAGGAAAATCAGAAGTAAAATGTGGGTCAAGTATTTTATAAGTGATCATTTCATATATATGCCAGTATATTTGAATTAGGTGAATAGGTTCTTAGTTTTCTGATTTCTACATGTATCTGCATATGTGCAAATTGACTATGTTATTTACTAATGGTTATTGTGATGTAATGTGCAAAATTCAGGTGTGCATTATCCTGACTATTGGACACTAATATATCCCTGTCAGGAATAGAACTTGCACACGTAACATGTTTTTTTTTTTTTTTTTAATCACAAAGGATGTATTTCCCTAAGCACTTTTGGAGCAGGAGAAGAAAGAAAACTGCTATTCCCTGATCCCCCTCCTATATGATATGCATATGCCTGAGGTGTATAAAGACATTTAAGTAGTTAATGAGCATGTTAATAAGAGCATTCTGATGCAAATTCATTTTCAAAATGAAAATATTTTTCCTTCCCCAAAGTGAGAGGAGCAGAATGTTGGTGAGCTGAACACCACCGTTACTATATATAAACATTTCCTGCTAAGGTCTAGTTTGGAGTAGAAACTTGAAAACTAACCTGTAAGATTGAGCCTGGTTGCTATTAAAGACCTCGAGGTGATGAGTGTTTCTAGGATGAGCGATAGAAGGTGTAGGTGACTTCTGGACCTTGGATATTCTTACTCAGTTCAAGATAAATGCATAGGAACAAAATGGTGCCATGGTGCTTTTAATGCAGTCAAGAGTAACTACGTGTTGCTAAGCCCCATTTCCCTTACAAACTCTCGCACAATTGCAAAAGAGGAAGTTGATGTGGCCTCATGTTTCCCGATTTCTCCAAGGTTTGGTGAAGTCCCAGGTTTTTGAAGCTGAAGCCCAGTTTTAGAGGTGCTTGGTCTCTGTGGTGGGGAGGCTCAGCATCGCACAGCACTAGCTGCAGGGGGTGGGAGGTGGGGGAACTGACCCCGCGCTGATCATTGCAGTGCTCAGAGTCACTGTCCATCTGTGTTCCCCAAGAACAATGTGAAGAGTCCTCGAACAGGAACTCATCAGACTGTCAGGGGCCTATAGCCAAAATGTCACTGAGTATAAAAATCCTGTCTGCAGTTCTCATGCTCTGTCACTGTCAAGCAAACAAAAAAGCATTTTTACTATAATTTAAAGGAGCTGCTTTTTTATAGCACATACTGTTTCGCTTTGTACTATATTTGATAGTTGCAGAATAATTTAGACTGTAGAAAAACTTTGTTGTATTTGTACTGTTCATGAATGTTTCAAAGAAGTGCTTTACTTGGTTGCCATAATTTTCTCGTACTGCTGTATTTTCTCCTGTTTCCTGGAAACCTAACCTGATACATATTTTTCAGTTTTTTTTAAATGTGTTTTTGTATGTGCATTTTTTTTTTGGTCAGTATCTGAATGTTTACATCTGTTTGACATCAGCCATGTAATGCCTTTGTGTAAAGGCAGAATTACTCCTACAGTGTAATAGCAAAATGTGAAATCAACCCAAACATAACATGCATGACAAACACAGGTTGGGGGCGAAGGCCCCGAACGTACACAGACATTTTATATCAGCATACAGAAAAGCGAAACCCTCCTTCAGTCCTCTACCAAAGAATATATAATTCCCACAGGAAAAACTCAGAAAGGTGTGTAAAATCCTCAGAAGGGGGAGTGGTTGACTCAGTAACACTGCGACGATTTAATACTGTTATGCTTGTTTTGATACCTGACTAAATGTGACTGAGTGCAACAAGCATTTAAAAACTTTTTAGACAGCGTTTTGTTTAGAATTCAGGGATCATGCATTCTTTAATGGTGCTGTTTTTTTTTTCATTTCTTTTCTACAAAGAAAATAAAAGTGTTGCCTACAAAAGTGATTGCTCACAATACCATAAGTTAAATGAAATGTTTGTCTGTTCATGTTTCTCTGATTTTCCCTTTCTCAAAGTAACAATTTGGGTTTCAATATTAAAATATTCTGGAGAAAATAAAGAAATTAAACATGAAATAGTTGTCATTTTTAATTTTTTAGTGAAATGAGATGGTTAATATGTACATAAAGTGTATTAATAATACACTGAATATTTTACTAAGAAAAAATTATAGGGAAAACTTAAACCATATACCATTAAGTTTTATCTGCCCCTATTTTTAGGATGGGGAATTGTCAATATGTATTTATAACTATTGTAAAAGCAGTAAAACTAAAACTGAAACCTCCTCCCAATTAATGGTATCCTGCTATGCTTATCACTTAAAACTATATTAGGATATTCTTGATTTCATAAAGATCTTCTTAATTCTTTATACCAAAAAGCAGTCAGGTCAAACAAGTTGTTACTGCCATATTTTACTTTTATTTTTTTTAAATGAATAGAGTATAGAAAATGATCTTTTGAAAGAACTGTTCTGGTTAATTTTTTTATCCTACATTAAATATTATAGCTAGAGTTATTTGAA